AAATGACGAAATCAAACAAAAAAGAAAATATTACTGGTGAATAACTAACCACCAACTAGAATTGATTCAGAAATGTATCAAGAACCATAGAAAAATATGTGAAAGTCTGTATAGTGCCACCATATAAAGAAGGAACGTCAGAGGATCTATGACGTAGGGTCCTCAATGAGGTTGGAATTAGTCGAGGTGGCAGTGAAACCAACCAGTCGTCTTGAGGACCCAATAGATCCAACTAAGAAGAACTGCGTATAATGTACCAAATACCATGTAATGACTGTTAGTGAGGTCAGTTACACATCATAGGTCAAACTATCAGTAGATCAGCGCCAATTAGATCATAGAGAAATCCAAATTTTGTTAGGCGTAGAATGATTTGTCTCCTGTTAAGTTGAATAAGCCTTGAAAAAATAGAACCCAGCCGTTGCAACGCAGAATTCACTGGCATGTAATCACACAATTTGGTTGGGTTGGCGGGACAGAGTGAGAGTATTAATACAATGGAATGTAGTTAGGTGGAGACAGTGACGGAGAGAGAGGTTAATCACTGAATCTTAGTTTGTCGAGTCAGCACACCAAATATGTGCAATGGAAACGATGCAACGCCTATACTGAAGATGTGGAAAGTGACAACAAACAACAAGGAGAAGAGGGAGGGAGAGAAAATCTAAATAAGGCGAATTCTGAACACGTGTGACTAAACTGATATGATAATTATGAGTGGCAAAGTTTTGTGCTGGAAACCTTGTCATCCAGCTGTTAATACTGCATCATCACTATGTCATATATGAAATAAACTTGTCTAATGTAGAAAGCGAAATTAAATCAGAATTCACAGACTATTGGAATTCTATTTTTAGGTTTAATCCTCGGCGTATTTACTGGCGAATACTGCTGAAGAGCAGTATTTTGGTGTGTTGTTTTCTGGGTTGCATGGTTTGTTTCGTGAATGTTTCTAGTCAAAATCTTAACCCGTGCATAATTCGCTGTGTGCATGTGTATGAATTGAACTCTCCGGGTAGCCTCACCCTCTATTCCATTTGCATTGATCATCGATTATATTGTTGACCTATGCTGTGCGAGCATTTAACCATAATTCATGATAACTTCTAGCCCTACCAGATGAAATGCGTCAAGGTGGATGCAGAGGTGTGAATAGAGAGAATGTTGGGCGTCAGACAATATGGTTTAGATCATTTCTCACATCAGTTGTTCAGGTGTCTGTCGACCACGATAGTAACAAAATGACTTCTAATGGCATTATGACTGTTTCCTTGACCTAAAGTTTAACTTTTTTGCGAGAGATTTCCTTCTAATCGACTGGTAGATTTTGTCTATGTCCATGTGGCTGTTGTGATTGTCTGTTCACTTGGTGAATACCAAGCTTCTAGTACTGGACACTCATGGTCATACACAGAATTTATAACACAAGGTCGATGCCTTATTGTACCAATTAGTATCACTAAACACCCATATGATAGATCCGTTCTAGAAGTCCATCCGTAGATGCTGCTCTCAGACACTTGGCATGTTCAGAGATCTTGGTGACATTTGTCGGTATCACCGCACTTAAGGGAGCAATGCACGACGATGCCATCGCGGTTCGTCAACTCAACTGAAACTAAGCTGTTTCACCATCACCGATCAGTTTGTTTACCCGTGCGGGTTGAGATACTTTTTGGTCAATATAATTTTCAACGGTTAAGAGGTCAGCAGCTTCGTTGTGGTATGATTGTGTATTTGTTCACTGTCTGCAAATAATCGGCAATTAATACATCTTTCAGCAGTCATAAGTGTTATATTCTCCCTTTTGTACTGGGAGTGGTGTTATGAGCAACCTGGCCACCAGGTTAGGTTGACCAGGCCGTAGAGTCAGCATATAGCGTGGTCAGGGCTCAGGTATAGCAGGGTTGATGGGCATACGGCGGCATAAGCATTACTTCTAGTTGTAGCCAACTGGAAGTGATCTCGAATCTGTGCAAGCAGCCCAACCAGACGGTTTCTGAGCCGACTTCCTTGTGATTCCACGAAAATTGAAAAAAAACATCGGGATTTTGGACTTCTTTCGTCAGCGATCAAAGTCTACTTGTCTTTTTCCAAAGGTAAAGGGCCGAAATACTGCTGATACATTCCTGGTTGGCGTGGAAGCAGAAGTGAGTGTTCCTCCTCAGTCTATGCACGAGCGTTAGCCTCGAGTGCAGATGACAATGAACAATCTGGACATGTGAGAACCCTTTTTCGAGAGGCCTCACCATAACGAGATGACCATCGACTTAGACAATTATGAATTCGGCAAGACTGTATTGAAAGTATGCGGGCACCTGGTCATCAACCAGGAAGTCAAGCCAGTCTGTAGTGACGTAAAATCCATAAAACATTATCCATTACCCGACTCCCTGAAGAAATGATAACTATTTTTGGTCTCATCTACTTTTGCTGCAGTTTTGCAACCGTTAAATGACTGTTTACGTGGATGTGGTTGTTAGTTTCACTTGTCAGTCAAAGCCGCTTAATTGATGGAAGACGTTAAGCACTTGTTAAATAAGAACTCACTCGTAGTCAGACGCGAAAACAAAGCCCCTATTTTCCTTACAACTGATGTTTCGAGCGTAACCATTGAGGCGGCTCCACAACAAGTACAAGGTGAGCGGCAATAGTTTGTATTCCTTTCGAAAATATTGGACCCTAACCATTGTTGTTATATCAACTTTGGTAGAGACCTACTAGTTGTTTGTTGGACCATCAAACACTCTAGAAATGCGCTGAAGGGTTAAGTTTTCAGTGTCTTCACGGATCGTTGAGCTCTACCGGGAGCCTTGTCAACCAAACAAGATTACTACTCGCCTTGTGAATTGTGAAGCCTTGAGTTGATATCCTTGTTTGCCTGAGACATTCTACATGTAATGAGTAACAACAATGAAGCCATAAATGCTTCGTTACGCTTGCACATCAACAACACTGTGTGCCCGGTTATCGACTGCGAATATCTTTCAAACTTACAAAAGGCGGAACTGAACTAAATGAGATTATGTACTCAAAAACAACGTGCTTAGTATTCATCGAAATTGTTTTTGGCACAGAGAAAGTTGTTTGTGACACTTCTACCGTTGAATGCCAGCCATAAGTTACTGCAGCTTTGAGACGTAAATTTTTTGAGAAATATCATATTCAGTCACATCCCGGTGCCAGTGCTACCGTCAAGCTGCTTAAGGAAAGATCTACATGGCCAAACATTAACAGTGTTACGTCTAATGTTGCACCTTTAAACACTTGACTTGCATTCTGCGTTAATTAGGTCATTTGTTGTTAACTAGATTTCGTACAGTTTTGTTTGAACGCACGTTGTGTTGATCATGACCCAGCCTTTCGTGTTCTTGGCGTTTGGTGTTCCATGTTCATATGAGGAATTTCGTTCAACAGAACAACAATCTTTCAGTCCTTCCTCAGTCCGATTCCAGTATGATTCTACTCGGAACCTTCGGTTTTTGTTCAAAGACTGCAAGTTCGTCTCTTCATGAGATTATTCGCACTGTGGCTGCAACAGAAAGCCATGCTAAAATGTGGACGCAAAAACTTTTTCTTGTCAAAGATTCAAAATTCTAGTCTAAAACTGGATCGCTAATTCTAGCATTCCGTCCATTATTACTACAGACAGAGGTGCACAGTTCGAGAGCCGCCTTCTCCAAAGTCTGTCCGAATTACTGGAAACTAAACGATTACGGACGACTTGGAATCACTGTATTTCTGACGGGTAAGCTGAAAAAATACATAGGCAAATTAAGATCGCTCTGACAAAAAGCGACTTGTTCTCTTAAACTTCCACTGGTATTACTGCACATACGAGCAAATTTAAAGAAAGGTAGCAAGTGATACGTTTCCTACTCTTTTCGTGGGACACCATTGTGATTATCAAAATGGTTTTTCACCACAAATAACCAAGTTCCACGTGACATGACTCATTACATGCAGCCATTAATGCAATGCATAAGTGAGTTGGAAATATCACCTGCAAGACACCAACAATGACCATCACATGTAATGCTACAACTAATAAACTTCACTTACGTTTTACTCAGGCGGAATATTGCCCAGCGACAGCTGCAACCAGCTCATGATGATCCATCTAGGGTTCTAAGTGGGAATGATAGAGTTATAGCGGAGGAACGATCAAATACAGCCGAGGCCATCATTATCACTCGAGGCCATGTTCTCTCTTTGAAGCAGCAGTCGAGTGCGCAGGTTTTGAGACACCTTGTGCCTAAGCACCGTTTATAGCTGCTCGTTTTTAGGGTGAAGTATGAGTTCCCATACTTCTCTTTTAGTTTGATAAGCTAATCGAGAACACATGTCCCCATACTTGGTGAAGTGAAGTGTTCGCCATTTTAAACACATTACTGATAAGACCGAAACTAGAAAATGGAACTCATGTAGCCAGATCTTGTCTCGAGGGAAACTTAATGTTCCGGCAAGATCTCAGAGGACTCTTGGCACGACTAATTTATCACACGGTAAAAGACTTAACAATTTACATCTCTTTTCTATTTCATACCGCGGGCGCATGGGGGATCACATTATAGTTTTCGAAATCCTTAGAAGTGACAGTGGACCCGCAATATTCTGTTTTCTCCTCACAGGTTTTGAACATCTTAGATGACATAGATAGTTCAAAAGTCAAGGAGTAACTCTATCACCCTGGGTTACTGGCTCTCCAACAGAGTCATGAAATCTTGGAATCGACTCCTAAAAGAACTGTTATATGATTATATGATTATAAATGGATCAACAAAGACCTGAGGCCTTCTATCCCCGACTAAAATATATGAATCTGTACAACATTATGACTACAGTTTTGTTTGATGTGTATATCTGTCTCACCACATTTAAAGCATCAGTGTAATTTTTCAAGCAGTTGGCCTAATCCAACTTAATTTTAGCAACCATGTTATTATAGGTTCATGTCAAAGCGAAATGAGATCTTGACTTGTTTTATCAAAGCAGTGGGATAGGCGTTTAAGGTCATCAATATTTAGCGGTGACAACTGTGTAAATGGGTTTACTAACGATTTTAAAAAAGCTCAAGCAGAAGGAAAAGGAAATGAGAATACTTCTTCTGTAAGTTTTTTTCAAAAAATTGTTAGAAGGTCGCACGAGTGTGATGTGATAAAAAACTTTTAAATGGCTGATTGACTTGAATATTCCGGTTATATATAAAACCAGAAAGTTTAAGTTAAGAATATTCTTTAGCAAACTTTCGAGTTCATTGTAGACACTTTAGATGGAAAAGCCAAGAAAAAACTTGAACACACGTCCCTAATAATGAAATATGTGTGCCAGAAGTTGTCAGTATGTTTTGAGTGCTTGTTGAGTTTTTTGAAATTTGACTGAATTTATGTATTCCATCTAACAATAATTATACAGCAAGGATGTTTATGTATTTTTTAAATTATTCCCTCGTAATTTACAAGCACAAATAAACTAAAGAAATTTCAAAGTCGTCAAAACAAAAGCAAACACTGTGTGCACTTCTCAGTGTCTGCGATGCGTCCGCTGTAAAATAATAACCCAAAGGGGACATAAGTTTAAATACTGAAATGCCTTGTTTATAAAAAATCTTGGCATAACTAGTTGATACTTCAGGTCTGGATTTAGGTCTATGCATGATTTGTTCACCATTGAGTAAGTTCTGTTATTATTAGCATACTTAGCTGCGTTGCTACCAGAATACCTAAATTTGAATTTGTTGACTGAGTAGAAGCAACATCTAACTGAAGCAAGTGAGGGTAAAGTGCTAAATCAATACGTCCTACTACAACTCACGCTATATATATATATATATATATATATATATATATATATATATATATATATATATATATAGAAAGAGAGAATATCCTTGAATAATCGTCATGAACATTGTTGATGTGCTTTTCAAGTAGTATCGATTTGTTGAGATCACAATGGAATTACCACAATTCAAGAAAGATGCATAAGTTATAATAAGCATAAAAATGTAATAGTGAATTATTATTAATATTAATATTATTATTATTGTCTCCTTTAGTTTCTAGAGGAATGTAGGGCTTCAGCCGCACGTCTCCACTGCGTTCGGTTCTCTGTCAACGTTTTCACCTGGCTCCACGTCTGCCCATATGCTTTCATCTCCTCTTCGTATGACCTCCTCCATGCCACCCTCGCAGTGACGACCAACTTTCTGCTTCCCATTCGGGTTCCACTTGAGGGTAATAGTAAATAGAGTATCAAATAAAATTAAGGAAATTTCTACGAAAAATTAAAACCTTAATTAACGGCCAAAGTAAAGAAAGCGTCTGAACCAACCAACTTTTTCTTTTTGATAAATAGATTAGGCTTCTTAATGCAGATTCCAATAGCCTCAGTAATATGCAATAGAAGAACTCTTGAGGTAAAATTACGATTAGTTGTTATGCGGTGGACGACTTTAAAGGCCTTGTTTACATCAATTTTGTGTACTGTATCGACGGGATGAGGTAATATAGAACTATGAGTGGACTTCATTTGTCCCTTACTAAACTACTATGCAGGATGGTGTTCGAAAATTCGACGGTGAACACGACTAATTGTACGGTCTATACAACTAACTGGCTTCACAAAAAAACACAGTCAAATTGATAGATACACATAGAAGAGGCAAAATGAGGTAGTTCATCTTTAATTGCCGAACTTAAAATAGGGATGGTTTTGAAGAGGCATTGAATGTTCTTTTAACCACTGCATTCCTTAGGTGTTGTGTTAGTATCTCACTGATGTTATTATCACTGAGGAATTGAATTTTTAAGAACAAGACCTTCCTTTTTCGGAACTGTTGGCTCATTTTGCCTGTCTTGACTGTTGATTCTCATATTCTTATCGATGAATTTTATCTGGGTAAAATCGTTCTCACTCAGCAACTGTTTAATAATAACATTATTCTCTTCATTAAGACATTGATTTATCGAAGCAGATTGTTCTTGCACTGTGGACCAAGCACTTTATTAGACTGATTTTATATTTCAAAGTTACGAAGCTGAAAAAATAAGTATACTTACCAGTTAATGTAGGTTTTCTCCCATACACTTCTTATTGTACCGTCTTTTTTTCTAGTCTAGAGATGAAATTTTAATTTCTTTCTTTTTCTGTTGTAACATTTATTGCAGGATGTACATCGTTAAATTTGTCAAAGATATTTCTTGCTTCATCCTCACTTTTAATAATCAGTAATGTGTCATCCACGTAACGAACGGTAGAATCATGGTTCATCGCTGTGTCGGTGGCACAGTGGTTAGGACTCTCGCCGACCATGCACATGGTCCGGGGTTCGATCCCCTGCCGACGCACACCCGATATCTATGGTCGGCCTGCAAAATTTGGGCTACAGATATCCATGCTGAAAAATTCCATACTCGTACTGAAAATACGGTGTGGCATCAAGTTGTAATCAAAATAAAATTTAAAAAAATAAAATAATCCGTCTGATGAGTCACCAATGTATATATCCCTCTTTTTTTAGAAAGAAATTTGCAAACAGTTTAGTATCTTTTTTCTTGGGGTCGATTTGAACATGAACTGTTTGTGTTCGTTTGCGCTGGGATCGTCGGCTGGGTAGCATCTCTTGTTTTGCTTCTGGTTTGACTGGTGGTATTTTGAAGATTTGCAATAGTAAATCCAGTGGCAGTTTATGTTTTTGGGTTGTAGTATATCGACGTCGTATCTGATTCTTATGTCTTATCCACCATTCATCTCCAACTTTAACCTTGTACATTAGAGTTCCACGTCAACATTATATCAAGCCTTCGACCCATTTCCTGTTCCTTCTGCAAATTTCCTTTTTAAAAAAGAGGGAGGTGATATATACACTGGTGACTCATCAATATTGATTTTTCGTACCTGCATGATCGAATTTACTGAATTTCCATTGATTGTTAATATTTTTTAAATGTGACATTGATTTTCCTAACTGTATAAGTACGGAGTTTTGTTTAACATTTTCGACTGTTGTAGAGACATTAAAAGCTCTCGTATCAACGTCCAGTCTTCTTTCTTTGTCTTGCGTGCCCGGCGGTATTGTTGTTGTTGACGTGCGATTAGGACAGATTAGCCAGTGCATTAAGTTAGGTTCGCTCGTAGTCTACAAGGTCATAATATTCATACATAACACCGTCACATCTTTCAAATACCCATTCTCTAGTATAGAAAGACAAATGTCGGCTAGAATTAGTCCTAGTGATGACCCCATTGCTACACCATCAATTTGTCTGTATACTTCCTTATCAAATAAGAAGTGAACATTCATTGTGCATACCAAAAGAAGCTCTTCTATAAAAGATATAGGAATGCTCACATCGATATCTTCTCTAATAAATTGTTCGCATATAAAGTCGACTCTTCCCATAAGTAACAAACAGTCACCATCATTATTGAGAGAAATACTAGAGATACCATCATTTTCATTGAGTTAAGTAGCATCTCATTTGGAATATAGATGACACGTATAAGAATATCAAAGTTAACCAGGATCGGGCAAAGTAAGATAACCTTTCATCATACTCTGAAACCAGTGTGCTGATCCATATGTGAGCATTTAGCCTAATGGGAAAAGGGCAAAGTTCAACAATAGCATCCCAGGAGTGCGAACGCTCCAATGACCTTGAACGCATGCTAGTCGTTGGCTAATGGCACCTGTCACTATCATAGGTGAAACATCAACGTTATTCACCAGCTAAGCAGCAAACTTCAGACAGATCACGTTTTTAAGTACTGTTTCGACAATGTGTTAATAACTCGTTATGGCTAAGATTATAATCCTTGACACTATAGGGTTGAGGTAAGTATTGGGTTAGAGGCTTCCGTACAGGTCTCTGTTCGCTAGCCCTGGGACGGGATGGAAAAGGCGGAGGGGTGGTCAGTCCATGACGTGGCGTCGTGGGATGAAGGATATGTGTACTAGATTAGCATCGGTTGGTGTGTCACGACTCCCTGGTTGGGGTCCGCGAGATAGCTCGAATCGATGGCTCGAGACGTTATCGGATATGGCCAAGAATCGTAATCAATGACGAACGTGCTGCAATTTCCTTCTTTCTTCCCTTCCTGATGATAGTTAACGAATACTGTTTGAACTTGTTAAACATGACTATTTTCCTTCCTGATGAAGTTCTTTATCCGTTTTTTACCTATATTTTTACTTTTTAATCTATGTTGTTTTATTATTATTGTGTGGCGCATCTTTCTTGGTGCCACATTGTACCAATTTTTTCTGCGTTTAAATAAATAAATAATAAATAAAATAAGTATTGGGTTAGGGTTAGAATTACGATTTTGATTGGAATGTGGTTACGATTAAGGATAGATTTCGACTTGATGTGATTTATTTTAATTTGTTTTGTTGTCCACATTTTCCTGGTGAGTAGTCGTCGATCCTTTTTACTGGAAACCATAGTAATTCAACCGAGGGCTTCTGTGGAAGGCTGCGCAACAAGATAAGAGAGATGAACGATTCACAAAAACAGTTCATCTTCAGTCACCTCGGTGAATACGTATAGAGAAACTAGTCTAACTTAGCAACTGATGCTCCTCATTATAACTGAGACGTATTTTTAAGTCATGTCAGAGAAAGATAACCTGTTTAATGTGTTTTCATGCATTTTCTTGTAAATATATGTCGTTTTTTTGTGCAAAAATTCCTCATTTTTATGATTGGTCGGCTGAAGGTCACTCGTGCGTTTGCATCCCTTGGGATGCTATTGTTGAACTTTGCCTGGAAAAGATCTGAATGTTCAACGCTAATGTCGAGTCAATTCCACAAATGGAAAAACCCAACGAAGCCTGCGAGGAGTCCGACAAGGTTGGCTGCCTACTGTCGCTCACAATGATATTCTTTTCGAATTTTGGTGGACTGGATTATGAGGCAAATTGTCGGGAAAGGGGAGCGAGAAGACTCTAGGAGATCTGGATTTCGCGTGGACAATTTATGTCTAATATCACACAACAGAGTCGGAGATCTACAGGTGAAAACCAACTAATTTGTCAGAAGAGGCTGGCAGCAATAACACGACTTCAAGTGAAAGTAGAGAAAATTTTCTTTTGTCTTCTAAATGTCTGAATAAACATTTTCGCTATATAAGACAATAATTTATGTGCCTATAATGTACCATGTTTTTCGAGAAAATTGCTGATTTTCTGTTTTTTCTTCTAAAAATTTCTATTTTCTCTTCAGTGGGCTGGATAATGCTGGCAAGACGACAATCGTGAAGAAATTCAACGGTGAAGACATCAATAGTATCTCTCCAACTCTTGGATTTCGTATTGAAACATTGGAGCATATGGGGTATGCAATCATGTTAAGCGTGTTAAATGTCTAATACACCCTATCCTCTTGCTTAATTATTATAGATTCAAGTTGAACATTTGGGATGTAGGCGGTCAGAAGTCGCTTCGTTCCTATTGGAGAAATTATTTTGAAACGACTGACGCATTGATATGGGTCATTGATAGCTCAGATTGTCTACGTCTGGAAGATTGTCAACAGGAGTTGGCTAAACTGTTGGTGGAAGAACGTTTGACTGGGGCTACCCTGCTTGTCTTTGCCAATAAACAAGTGAGTTTATTGTTCAGGAAAGCCCCCTTTGATATACTTTATTGTCAAGTATTTGAGCAGAGAAAGAACAAGAGACATTGGTGCAGAATACCTAATATGGCTCCATTTTATTTCATTGGTTCATCTCATCAGCTGTGCACAGTCTATAATCTTTAATAAATATAAGTTAGTGTCCATCAACAAGCAAATTGTAAGAGCTTCATAATGAGATAAAACATCAGGATGATAAGGTAATTGAGGTATTACAATGTAAATATATGTGTATCTTCTCAGATAGAAGTTACTCCAAAATTAATTGACAAATTTTTGGTATTAGATGGTTGGAGGCAATCGGCAGGAAGCCTTGGACCTAGGTTTTGTACTAGCTGACAGATTTGATGTTAGGGTTGTAAAAAAAAATTACTAACAATTATGTAGTTAGATGAGAGGAGGTCGAAATTCAGTGTGTAAGAAGTGATGATGTAATGTGGTAAGTAGAACTCATGCGGTGAAGAAGAATCATCTCTTATGGAAGTCAAACGGAAAACAAGGTGGGGGACAAAGATTTATTAAGGGATGAGTCACCAGGGTAATTGAAGTCCAACAACAGATTCCTTTTGGACACATAGGTCAAGTTTCAGCCGCTTTATTGCGATAGCTTCAACATACCGAGAAAAGACCTGAGTTATTTTCTCCGTTAGTTATTTTGAGTGAAGCTAGCGTATGTACTCGGTGTTGGCTGGAGCCAGTTGGCGGTGATATGGCTCCAAAATCCTAGTTCTCAATGGTGGCGCAAATGCATTCACTCTTTGTGATTTGCCATATCATCCAATAAAACTCTATTGTGTTCTTCCATATTACTGCTAATCTTCTTCCCTCACTCACACCTCTGTTTATTACCTTCCTCTCTTTTGAATTTCTCTTTCCCTCTCTGTAATCTCTTGCTTTGTGTGATAAATGAAGAGAGTGTGGCAACTCAAAGTGCTGGACATCGGTGCAAAGTAGTTCTATGCTGGAGCCAGTCAGTTAGTTCTCGTTTAGTACCCACTAAGGTTCGAACCCAAGACCTTCACCTTTCGTTTACAAGGCGAGCGCGAAGACTGTTCAGATACACTGGTACGGGATGTGATCCAGTGGCCAGCACATGAATACCATTTCTAACGATTCGCGATATATATATATATATGGCTAGGCATGAATAACACGTCTTACCCTAACCATCTCAATTGATGTAACTGGTTCACACCCTCATCGATTGACTTCCCCTCTTTACCTAACACTCACCGTATCATACCATCTAACATGTGAGATAAAACCCAGACACCTATGATCGGAGACGGCTAGCTAGTCGGCATTTTCATGGCTGCCATGTCCCACCCACAGCCATAGAGGAGGAAGGGAAGAACTGCTAGTGCACATGTCCTTTGATTGATAGCTAGCCAGCGAGCCGAATATCAGTCACGTCTACACTATTACAATGCTGTGCGTCGGTGGCACAGTGGTTAGGACTCTCGCCGACCATACACATGGTCCGGGGTTCGATCCCCTGCCGGCGCACACCTGATATCTATGGTCGGCCTGAAATTTGGGCTACCGATATCCATGCTGAAAATTCCATACTTGTACTGAAAATACGGTGTGGAATCAAGCTGTAATCAAAAATATAAAAAAATATATAAAATGATTTCACTTGGCTGCAAAAACAGTCTTTTAATTATTATTCTTTTTTGTCAATATTTGTTTTAGGATTTAGCTGCATCGATGAAACCAGCTCAGATACGTGAAATTTTACGTTTGGATGAAATTACCACCCATCATTGGTTAATACTTGGTTGTAGTGCTGTGACAGGAGAGAATTTACTCGAAGGGATGAATTGGCTAGTGAAAGATGTCTCGTCAAGAATATTTTCATCGGATTGAAGATATTTTGACGATATGACGTAATAATATCACCATCATCAACATCTTTTATGAATAATACTCTGCTATTTCTCAAAGTTGTAAAGAATATTCTTTTCAACCTGAACAAGATCAGTAATTGTAGGTTGTATATATACACTGAGTTGTTGTACAGTAAATGCTCATGTATATTTGTGTTTGTTTGTGTGTGTGTGTGCATGTGTGCGTATTTGAGTCTGTGTGACTGACTCTATGTACATATAATTAGAAATAAAATCAATATTATTACAACTATTATTTGAAAAAAAATTAGTTCCCTTTATGAATTTACCCAACACAATCAGAAAACGTAATTTGTCTGAATCGTCTTGTAATGTATTTGCTCAAAACTTACTTTGAACAATCTGATCACACACGGACTTGTCATAAGAATATATATATATATATATATATATATATATGAAAATAATAAAGATAATCTGATGCTCGCTAGTTACTTGCTACAGTACGGAGTTTCCTGGAGTTCCAGTGAGAAGTTGTGACCATTGAGGTCCAACCAGTCAACTGTGAGGATGGTTGGTGGTCGCGCTAAATGCATCACGAATTGGTATAAGTTAGAATTCATGGGCTGGCCATTGAATCGGATCCCAGTGGCTGAATGGTATACGAGCTGGCCTTGTAACTGGAAGGTCCTGAGTTCGAGCCCTGGCAGTGGGTGTGTACTGCCGATGATTCCCAAACTAGGATGAAACAGCTGTCCAGTACTCCCTGGTGGTTTTCAATGGTTCTCTAACTGATATCAATCCGTGGTCCCACTCGTAAACATAAATCTAACCCTTACAAACCAACTCTTGAAAGAGTTGAGGGTCGAAAAAATAGACTTAGGTCAAGTTAAAAAAATAGGGTCAAAATAATAATGAAGATCAATAAACCAAAGAAGAGAGGGGAGGTAATAGTACATCTATTTTGGTATCATCAAAACAAAGTTTACCAAGGAAGGTGGTTTAGTGTGATGACGAATTGTTTTTGATGAACGCATAAAGGTGGTTTACAAATCCTAATTGTTAGGGCTTTCTACTAACTTTAGGATATGTCCTCATCTAAACACGTTTTATAGATAGGTTTAAAAGACGTGTAGAAACATCAATTTTATGCCCTGTCTCCTCTATAATATGTTTCGTAATAGAGGTGCTAGATCGTCTGTTCTCAGCAATAATTGGTTCTGGAGATTCCACTTACTTCTGTAGCCATTTGGAAATATGCTCTGAAGCCCTTACCTGCAAAGATCGATAAGTCCTCCCTCCTGTGTATATGTATCCACACATACATTTAAATTGGTAAATATAGTGAGATGTGGCATCATTTTTCTCATGTTCTAAGGGCTTATATGGATATATGGGCTTCACATTCTTAGTTATTCTTATGTTAACTGCTTAAAAGAGTTTTTTAACGGCAGTGTTTAGTCTTTGTCAAGTTAGCAAGCTGCTATGATCACCCATGCGTAGGGAAGCGTGATATACACGTCTTTCTTAGTGGAGAGTTGAAGAGCGGGTCTTGGTGTTCTGACTACTTTATATCTCTTAATGAACTTACCTGGATAAAAAATATTTACTTTTTAATGAGATCCCCATATCTGGCTCTACTGTAAATTATATTATGTATAGCATTTTTAATACAATACACAACATTTAACTAATCAGGTGGCGATATGTTTGGTTTAACAATAATTATTAGGCAGTATGAACATGTCAAACTCTGGGGATAGGGTGATAATTGACGAAGAAAGTTAATACACGGATTTAAAGAATAGAGAAATGATTACAGCAAGTGGATTGCATCATGCATAATTTTGAAAAAAAATTACAAAAGGGTAATTAAGAAATACTGCGTAATGATGAAGAGTCCTAAACTAGGACGAAACAGCTGTCCAGTACTCCCTGCAGGTTTTCCAGTGGTTCTCTAACTGATGTCAGCTCATGATGAAATCCTCCACGCAATTAAGAAATAAATGAGTCACAATTTCAATAAATTAAAATTCCCCAAAGATGATTTTGAGTGGACAATTGTTTTCGATAAATTCTTCATCAAGCTCTACAGTTATAAATCCATGATTATTATTATTACAATACAAATAGCCAGCCATTAAAGGCATGTGAAAATTATATCGGGAACTGTATTGGGGTACATGTATAATATGGAGGGATAGTTCGTTATTTAATAGTTTTAAATGAACGTATATAAAAAATGTGCGGTCATTCAGAACATAAGATAAAGTGTGAATAGACAGAAGGGTGATATACTAAGGTATTGTATTTATAGTCAACAGAATATAAGTTTCATTCGCGGTGGGGTTGGGGTGAGTTATATTCAATGGTGTGCGAGGAAAATGATTACCACAAAACACATACAAACTAGCACGAAACAGCTGTCCAGTACTCCCAGGTTTTCCAATGGTTCTCTAACTGATGTCAGCACATGATGAAATCCTTCATGCAATCAAAAAAAATCCCTACAAAACCAGTACTTGAAAGCATACAAACGAGTACCACAAAGTGGGGAACACCGAATGTAAGTTCATGCAAGGGATCACAGATATCAAGTGTAGTGATAAAGACGTTAAATTGTGAACTGTAATAAAATAATAGAGACATAATAAGCTTAGTGTAAATTACAAAAGGTTGACACATAATAAAGGTAATAATGGAGTAAAGTGAACTATGCGAAAAGGAATAAGAAAGACAATATGACATGAAAATACGGATGATTATGTCCCTGCTGAACTTGTAGTAGGCCAGCGTAAACAAAGAGGATGAATGTGCTTCTTTTGTACACATAGGTCAAGTTTTTTCTTATCAATCTGTGTAGCTTCTGCTATAGCTATAGCTAAGAGACGTCATCGTGTGCCTTTAGGCAGATTGTTTGGTACTCAATATACAACCGTAAATGACTCATCTATTTTGATGTGGTGTTCACTATCTACTAGATGAGACAAAATGGCACTATTTATTGATTTGGTTACACTTTTTCCAAGCCAAGCAGGAACATGTTCATGACCGCGTAAAGATAAATTCCTTTGAGTTCGACCTATATAACTAGCTCCATATGAGCAGTTGAACTTGTATACACACATTGATATGGCCATTTTTGGTGTACTGTATCAGTAGCGGTTTGGTTGAGAAACTGATGTGTAGTTCTGCAGCATTGAATGTCCTTAAACTGATCTGATCAACCTACAGCTTAATATGTCACCTTTGAAATGTACTCTCAAATAGAGGTTTTTCTTATTCACCGTGTCACGCTTAATTTTATCAATTCTTTTAGAAATATACTTCTTTACAAAAAAATTAGTAGGGTAACCATTTTGTAGTCCGGGTTGGGGCCCTCGGGACTCTAAGAATCAATGGCTGGAGACAATAGGTGACATGGCTCAAAATCGTTGTCAATGGCGCAGATGTATTCAGTCTCTTTAACCTTCATACTCCTTTCTACCATTACTCATTCTGTTTCACTCTTATACTTGTCAAAACTCTATTGATTCTCTTCACTCATTTCCTTGTCTACCTTTGTGTGCTCTTTGGAAAGTGGCAACTCGAACTGCTGCACTTCGGTGCCAAGTTCTATGTTGAATCCAGACAGACAGAGACCATTTTGTAGTAGGATGTTTTTAAGATTTCCGATTTCGTGTTCAATACACTCTTCAGTACATATACGCCTAATTCTATTATTAAGACAACGAAGCAATTTCCGTTTATATTGTATGGGTATGAAACTATGGAAATGGATATATAGTGTCTGTTGCATATCGCTTTTATGTAGAGGTTTCGCTTTAACGTGCCGTCTAGTCTTTTAGTAAGAAGAACATCCAAAAAAGAAATGCTTCCCTGATATTCCTCTTCGCAAGTGGATTTAATTTGCTGGGTGCACAGTATTAATGACCCGCATCAGATGTTGTTTATCCAAATTATTATCACAAAACGATGAAGGTATCGTCTACATAATGGCAATAATATTCAAGTTTGTTTAACACCTCTCCCAGAGCACCGTTTTCTAATTTAGTTAGAAAAATGTCAGCTAATAAAGGATCTAGAGAGGAACCCATAGCAACCCCATCTATTTGACGGTAAAACTCCTGGTTAAATACAAAATGAACATTCATAGTACATTTTAGGAACAATTCTTTCAATTTCATAGGTGTGATCCCGATATCTACTTTTCTCTCTACAACTTGTTCGCATATAAAATCGACTGTTTCAATCAGGGGAACATTGATAAATAGTGATGTTACATCCAACGATAACATGGCTTTGTCCGCTATGTTCATATCCTTAATGATGTCAACAAAAGCAAAGGCATCTTTTACACTATATTTAACCAACTCCCGCTGTAGCGGCTCAAGCAGATTTACCAGATATTTAGCTGTTAAATGAAATGGTGAATTCGACATATTGTGATGAGAGCTGGCTGCTAGCCAAAGTTGGTAGACAGTAATTGACGTCAATGTTTATGTCCCCAATATTGGTGATGAGAAAATGAGAACAAAGGCTTTGCGTAGGCGGATACAGTTAGCATATGGATGATCTGACACAGCCACAAAGAGATGCAAGCTTAACTTTCTGTGAGAAACAACCAATCAAAAGACTGTATTTTATACTAACAATAATCTACAATACTGTACATTAAAATATATAAATATGTGTTGATTTTCCTTAATAAACGATCTGTTGCCTGGCCCTTGTCTTCTGCTGTTACAATATCAAGAATGGGATGTAGAGGAACTCCCTGCTTATAGATCTTCGGTTAACCATAAAACCTAGGTGTATGAGTTCCGAAGGGTTTGATCGAATTGAATATAGAACTGTCAGTTCGATTTTCATCTTTTTGACACTTGATAGTCTTAATAAACTGGCGTTCAGTAGCTTCATTGGAATCTTCACTACTGTAATGACAGAAGACAAGGGCTAAACAACAGATCGTTTATTCAGAAAATCAACAGATATGTATAGATTTCTATGTATATTATTATTCGTTATTGTTAGAAGAGAAACAGCATCTTCTGATTGGTTGTTTTCCTGCTGAAGGTTATTCTGTCATCTCTTTGTTGCCGTTTCTTAGACAGTCCGCTGATATATCTGCTAATCTTATCCACCCACACTAAGTCTACTGTGATTGGCTGTTGGGTTCCTCAAGCTAAGTCTTTGTTCTTGTTATTTTCTTATGACCAAGATTTGGGACGTAAACATTGACGTCCATTGTTGTCTACAATTTTGTCTTGCAGACAGCTCTCACCACACTAATACCCAACTTTTGGAACTTGGAACGATCTTCCAGTAAAGCGTTCATCTTTTCGATTTAGTCACGTTTGTTCATGATCACTGTGTAGGAACCCTTGTTAGGTATAGTGATTATGATACTGTCGTTTGACTTAAGCTTTTTAATGCATTCCCTATGCTATGAGTCACATATAAAAGAAAAGACGTTTGGCGAAGAGTTACTCCTCTGTTTTCACCGATGTCATTCTTAGGCATATACTATACAGTAAATTGTCTCAGCAACAAAAGGAATATTTCCAAAGATATGTCACCAGAATTGTAAATCCACCACCTTAAGTAGCGAATTACGTAACATAGAGAGCGTTGATCAGGTAGAAACTAAGATAAAATTAAATACGTAAACTCACTGACGTTAATAACAATTGACGGGATAGAGTAGAGGAGTTCAACGTAAAATTGAACGAGAGTCAGTCAAGTGAACAAAATTGGTAATAAGAGGTGGAGATGGTGGAGGAAGAGAATAATACAATTTAAAAACAAAAGCAGAAAATATCACGTATTCTGTGTTCATAGACAGATCAAGTCGATTGTAGACTTAGTGATACTGAACTAATTTCTGCATTCACCGTTTGTCAATTTTAGAACTCCTACATAATAACTCCATATTTTCCTTTGTTTCTATGTGCATCCTAGTCACAACTCACTCATTAAACTATTCATCTCATTACGTAACTGTATCACGCTGATTCAACTTCTTTTATGTGTTGATTAACTTTGGCATCACATCACCACTACCCTCTTAGCAGTCTTCAAATTCCACTAGTTACGATGTAATTGCTCATCACATTTTTGAAACAACAATAACCCTAACTTATGTCCATTCTTATCGGATAAACCTAATGTACACACAAATAAATATTTATATAATTGCGATTGTAGAGCTAAGTGAAAGAATTCGCCGCCGAAAAGAGACTCTTCGCTGGACTACATGTTTTGTTTTCATTAATGTTTGGATGGGGGTTATTCATAAATTTTAAACTAATCAATATGTACGAAGACAACCATGGTTACTTCCATATTGAAGTTTGCAGTTAAGTTATTGGTCTAAAAAGACGACGAAGGCTTCCCAATCAAACCCACCCAACTCAGATAACATAACCAAATCAAAACTAGATCTTCGCCCTTAATGAATAAACCACTACATAAACACATAGTATCAAATAGATTATATTTACATTATTTTCTATACAAAACAAATTTCATCATGAAGTTGTTAAGTCAAGAATATTTTTTGACAGCAAATGAAGCAGTAGTCGAGCTGTATTCTTAGCATCATCTATTCCTCTGTGCGGTCGACCTTCAAAACGTAATCCCACCAAGTGAAGTGCATCTTTTAGACCACCACGCCAATTCTGTGCAACTTTATGAGAGCCAAGCCATTGCTACAAAGAAAGAAAAGAATATACTATTATCACAAAACAGACGAGAAAACTATAATAACGTAAAATGCATTTAGAAAAGACGTTTTCTTTTCAAAACAATCATAGCATACACTTTCAAAACGTTAGAACTTATTTAACAAACCCTCAACATTGAAATGTCTAGGTTAAGAAAAGCTTAGTTGGGGAATATTCTAAAGATTCTGTTGCTTTCGCCTAGAAGTGTAGACTCGAGTTGACGTCTGGAATGATTTTGCAAGTATTTTTCGTACTACTGAAAAACATTTATTAGTATACACATAGATTACAATATAATTTTAATGACGATTCACGGTATGTGCATATTATAAGTTGAAAAGTCAACTTTCAACGAGTACTGAATGATACCAATAATTTAAGTAAGGACTTCAACGATATTCAATTCATCTTTGGTGAAGTTTAAATTTAATAAACTTCCAATGACTTAAAATGATATCTGATAGTTTTGTGGGATTTAACATAGAGTACATCAGTAGGCTTTGCGTACAGGGGCAAGACAATCATGAGGCTCACTGCAAAGAATTGCCGAATTTGACTGAAAGGTATTCAAACTTACATAGGACGGAGTTAGTTGGGCTAGTGGAGCACAGAAACCTAGCAGAATCTGGATTAGTTGACACTAATAAGAATAAGAAATCTAGAAAATAGCTCACCAATAATAGTATTAATTGGAATTACACATAACCATACAATAAGATAGGAAAAGATAGCAGTATTAAAATCTAATATAACAAGGGGGAAAGAGAGACAGATAATAAATGAACCTTTTTTTATCGAATCAACTGGGAATAATTGCAGTAAGAATGTTGAACGCCAATTACGGGAATCTGCACCATTCTACTACCCTCCCGAAGATTGGGAAGACAGAAAGAGAAGTATAAACAGCCAGTTTCGAAGTTCTGTAGTTGCAACTGATATTATAGTGGACAACATGTTGTGTTCAAAACTTCCACTGTGTGATATACCCGATAAACAAATTGATACGAATTTTCATACTACCTCCTTATTGCTGGTGTTGTCATCATTCTGTGCATGTTTGTCATGCATATCGTTATAATAATTATTACTATTACTAACATTACTATTGTTAATTTTATTTTTACATTTTCCTACATACTTCCTGATTAATTTATTAGAGCAATTGTTCAGTTTTAAAGCTTCTCTCATAAAATAATAATAATGCCCGTATGCATGACAAACATTCACAGAATAATGACAACATCAAAAATAAGGAATTTAAATCATATGTATTACTACTTCCATACAAAGAAGGTACCTCGAAAACCTGAAGGAGAATTTTTAACAATGCAGGAATAAAAGTGACTGGCATTCGAACCCACAAACTCAATTAGAAAGAAGCTTTGTTGGTTAAAAGATCCTGTGGAGCCTTTAAAACAAGACAATTTAGTTTATCTAATACCCTGCAATGATTGTCAGGTCAAATTATTAGAACAGGTGCAGTCAGATTAGTTGACCAGAATAAGATAAGAAATCTGGAGGATAGTTTAGCCGTAGGTAGCTCTACATACAATTACACACAAACATACAATAGAATGGGATAAGATGACAGTTCTAAAATCCAAAATAACAGGGTGGAGGGACAGTCTGATGAGTGAAGTTCTGTATAAAATCTTGAAAGTTGTTTCAGTAACAATCTTGGCATTCATATCCACGGTTCATATTTCTATACACAAGGCTGACAGCCTTTCACAGTTGCTCCCACCCCACCTTATAAAGCTTTCGGAATTCGACTATTTTTTGTATACAGCCAGTTTCAGCTGCATTCTCCTCAACCATTCACCTTCAAAGTGTGATTCCTTCTTTGTATATATGTACGTATGCGTTATGCAGTGTGACGTAAGCATGTATGTAATGTTGAGATTTTGTAGTGGGGGTATTTTTGGACAGTGTGTATAGCACATATTTTATAAATGACAGATTTCACAATGTTTCAAAATCATCCTGGCTGTTTCCTTCAGTACGGGGAATTACACGTAAACATCTTCCCTTGGAATAAGGTAAAATAAGAGGACTCAAATGATCACAGAGGTTTTTAAACTAAGCATTGATGGCTAAATCAGAATTTTTATACACACTTATTCCCCTTTATGAAATATGAATAAAGCAAAAACAACGGCATGCAAAAACTACGATGGTACTTGCAAAGGTGGCATAATGTCAGAGGTAACAGTACACTCCAAAATTGATAAACACTGCTCAGAAACTACCCTTACATGATTTGTATACAGATGGTTCAAGCTTAAACAAAGCAAAATCCAAAAAAACAAATGTTTCGATATAACGGGGAAGGAGTTACGTAATAGAAACAAGAGGTGGATAAATAGATGATAAAATTTGTCTAGAAATCGCTTCAATATTTAAATGCAGTTGACTATGACCCACATCTCTATATTATGACGACTAATGCTATCAACTACCTGACTACTTTAACTTTCATAGTCAAACATTGCCATAGTAACTCTCGATCCACGGAGTCGAAGGCCACCTTCAAGTCAAGAAATATGGCAATTGTTGGACGCCTAAAAGTGTGTCTATGTTCTAGTATCTGTCGGAGAGTGAAGATATGATCTATGCACCCTCTACCTGGCCTAAAGCCCGCTTGATTATGAAAGGAGTGCCAAGAAAGTACATTGCACTAATCAAGGCACTCTACTCAAACTCACGTAGCTGTGTAAGGGCTTATGGGGAATTGTCATCTGAATTGATAACAACCAGTGGTGTCCGTCAAGGATGTCCACTTTCCCCTTTTCTGTTTAACTTCATCATAGATATGCTAATGGAAGTATCCTTAACTGAACTTAACGACTTAGGAATCGACTTGTTACCAGGGAATAGTCTTATAGACTTAGAATACGCAGACGACATAGTCCTGTTAGGGGAGGACGCTGACAAAATGCAGAGTCTTCTGAACACCTTGAGCAGCAATCTTCGTATGTTTGGCATGCGATTCGCCCCTGTAAAATGTAAGATGCTGCTACAGGACTGGACTACGTCAACTCCTAGCTTAGTGATAGGGAATGAAGTGATAGAACATGTTGACCACTTCACCTATTTGGGAAGTTGTATCAGCACCAACGGATTGATTGGTGACGAAATCACAGCACGGATCCAGAAAGCTCGGGCTGCTTTCGCTAACTTACACCGTCTCTGACGTAGGCGTGACATCCAGCTGTCAACCAAGGGACGTGTGTACTGCTCAGCAGTTCGCTCCGTCCTTCTCTATGGCGGTGAGACGTGGCCATTGAGAGCGGAAGACATGAAGAGATTGTCTGTTTTTGACCACAGATGTTTACGATCTCTTTCTCGCGTTAGGTGGTATAATAAGGTAAGTAATGTTGACGTTAGGCGTAGAGTGTTAGGCAAAGAGGGAAAATCAATCGAAGAGGCTATGAAGTTATATAGATTGAGATGGTTAGGTCACGTGCTGCGCATGCCTAACCATCGTCTCCCCCGACGGGCATTACTAGCTGATACAGGTGCAGGTTGGAAAAGAGTAAGTGGTGGCCAAACAAAAACATGGCATCAATCCATGAAATGCTTGACAGTTAAACTGAGTCAGGTAGGGAGATGCAGACTTCTACCATTACTCATTCTGTTTCACCCTTACACTTACCTAAATTCTATTGATTCTCTTCTCTCATTTTCCTGTCTACCTTTGTGTGCTATTTGGAACGTGGCAACTCGAACTGCTGCACTTCGGTGCCAAGTTCTATGTTGAATCCAGCAGCAGCAGCAGCAACTTTAACTTTGGTTAGTGGAAGGGGTGATCGAGATCGTGATGCCTTGGGGGTTGGAATTATAACACCTAAACGGATGAACGAGGGTCGTAGATATACACATAAATGAGGTTTTTCTAACAACATTAATTGGATGAACCTAAGAAAGTTAATGACAGCCGTTGTATTCCATTAAGAAGAAATCCTTTTAAATAAAGGAGACGATTTCTATTTCAAGAGGATCTTTTAAATGTTATTGTGTGTTCTTCGGAATAAATGGTTTAATTGCAAAGCTTTTATTATCCTTCCAGAGAACATCTTCAGACCTAACTTCAATGTGTAATGAAAATACAAACACACACATATACACACCGAAGTTCAAGACCAAAAAGCAATTCTTCTATATAAACATCTCTCAATGATAAGAAAAGCAAAGTTAATATTTTTAAGAGTTGATCACGTATTGATATCAGTTAGAGAACCATTGAAAACCAGCAGGGAGTACTGGACAGCTGTTTTATCCTAGTCCAGTACTCCCTGCTGGTTTTCAATGGTTCTCTAACTGATATTAATGCGTGATCAACTAGTAAAAATAAAACTAACCCTTACAAACCAAATATAGGAAAAAAAGTTAATATTCAAATAATACAGTATTGGAAATCAATAATTAATTATACACTGCTTACTTGAAATATAGCCTTCAGATCAATACGATTCAACATATCACCAGGCAGTGGAAGCTTTTTCCGTCGACATTCATCCCATAGACAAATACTTATATCCCAATCTAAGAAGAAATTATAAGAAGAATAGAACATATTATAACAGATGTAAGCAACTTATCCTAGAATAAAAGGGCAGAAAAACAAATCCTGATTTGCTGATTATGATAAAAAGCACAAAAAGCTAATATTAGCTAGAACTCAGTCGCGCAGAAAATATTTTCCTGATACAAGACTGAGAGTCGCATTTGTTTCATGAGGCAGAGATAGAACTACGCAGATTCCAAGGACTAAACGGACAAGACAGCATTTGAACCTGGAATCTGTTGCCTGGCACTACATTCGAAATATATATGAAGATAAATTCTTAATGCTCTAGGCCAGTAAAAACACGAATCTGTAATCACAACATGATTTAATAATATCATAGCTTACTATAATGTCCTTTTTAGGAATTCACTAATATTCTACACTGAATTTGAAATCATATGAATCTTTATTTGATTACATGTTGAGATTCTTTTGCAAACGTTTCAACATAGGAAGATAAATATTTGGAGAGGTTGTAAGTTAGTGAGTTGATTAAATCCACTACCTGTCTTAATGGAACTATCGGTTTGTGTATCTTTGGTTGACCGTAGAATATTGAAGGTATACACAATTTCGGTCTCAGTTTAAACCAAAGAGAATTTCTAACTTTGGACTTCACTTGTTGAAGAAGTCTGTTGGTATTCAGTTTTGCCATGTTGATTTCTTCAGCAGACCTCTTTTTTCTTCAATAAGTAAGCATGGTATGTTGGATAAGTGTTCAATTGCCTTCCTTTCATAATCAGTTCTGTTCCCTTGTCCACTTTAGTTATAACAATGTTTTCGTCTTTTTACAAATTCCTTAGAGCCTCACATGAAGTTAGACAGTATGTTTTGCTGTCATTAGAATATGTGATATTTCATGACGTACACTTGATGCTTCCTCATTGGTGATCAGTTGTAGAGCAGCTTCAATAATGGTTTCTATTTCCTAAATTATCGCCCACGAATTCAAACTTCCACCCATCCACTTTCTAATCAGGCTACATATGTTCAAGCCAAAGTTGGAGAACTAAAAACACAGAGGAATGTTTAGCACAACACACTAGAATCCATTGAAAAGTTATCTGAAGAACGACAATCACATTTTCATAATGTCATCAAAAGAAGACAAGTACAGAAGTTCTTGAAACTGACGAGAGACGGTGGGTTAAGAAGACCAAAGAGGCACTAGACAAGTGATATGAAGAATATTAAAACTAAACACAACATATCAGACAGGATACTACCTGAAAATAAAATCTCTTTTTACTACAAATTTTAATCCTCTTAAGAAAGCATTATTGATTAAGGAAATAGAAACCATGAATGTTAGTTGACATAGGATCATGTTGGCAGAGTTACATATGATGAAACCAAAAAGTGGCAATAATCTATGAAGTCGTTGACACTTGGTCTGAAACAGTTCTGTAGAAAGGTATAGACTGTCTGACGGGTGTTTCCGAGACGAGAGGAATCATTGGCTTGAGAAAATTGTTGATATAACGCATAATCCTTCTCAGTGGTACAGATTCATTCACTCCTTGTAGTGTCCCAGATTCGTGAAATCCCCGATATTCTCTTAATATACTTTTCAATTGCATAATGAATAATGAGAATGTAAGCCATTTGTGATATTAGAGACAGTGAATACCGTTTCGAGCCATATCATCAATAGTCCCACGGCATTGGTTTACAGCATCCCGAGGACCCCAACTGGGCAATCTACACCACCCTATGTGGTTCAAATTAACTGTCAGAGATTTCATGTATTCATGCTTGGTTTTGATTCGACCACTCTTGACTCTTTCCCAACCTAATCCTATGGAAGCTAACATTAGTAGTCGAGGAAGGCAATGGAAGTGTGACTGCGTTTATGCCTCACTGAAACTGTAAGTGGAAAGAGACTCGAACTCAGAACCCATTTGACTGAAAATGAGGTGTAGTTTTATGTACCATACAACAATCAGTTCTAATATACACCGGTGTGACTCATTGGCTTAAACATCCCACCTGCAACCAATACGTTTCGGATTCAAATCCAGATCCATCTACTACAGCCTGGGCAGCTGACTGGTTTCGACGTAGAACTTTGCACCGATGTGCAGCAGTTCGAGTCGCCACACTTCACTCAGCACACAAAGCAAGAGAAGTAAAAAGAAACGCAAAATAGAGACAGTAAAGACAGATATGAGGCAAAAAGAATAGTAATATCGAAGAACAATATAGTTTTATTGGGTATTATAAGTCACAAGGAGTGGATGCATCTGCGCCAGCCATTAAGAACGATTTTGAGCCATATCACCAACCGTCTCCAGCCATTGGTTTTCACTGTCCCGAAGATCCCAACCAGGAAGTCTACACCTCCCTAAGTGACTGGCTTAAACTAACTGTTGTGGATTTCATTAACTGATGAAGTCATGTTTTGGTTTGACCACCACTGGCTCTTTTCCAACCTGATCCTATGTCAGCTAACACTATCCGTCGAGGGAGATGGCTAGGCATGCGTAACACATGTCCTAACCTCGCAGCCTCGTCGATTGATTTCCCCTCCCAGCTACCTAGCACTCGAAGCCTAACCTCAATATTACTCATCCTATTGTGCCACTTCATACGGGAGATAGTACGCAGGCACCTGATCAAAGATAGCTAGCCAGCCTTTTCATGTCTTCCACTTTCAATCGCCAGGTCTCACAGCCATAAACGAGGAAGGAGCGGACTACTGAGTAGTACACACGCCCTTCGGTCGATAGCCGGATATCACGTCTACGCCAGAGACGGCGTAAACTGTCATATGCGAAACAAGCATTGTGTGTCCTTGCTGAGATTTCGTTAGCGATCAACGCACTGGCACTGGTTGATGCAACTTCCCAAATAAGTGAAGTGATCAACTTTCTCTTCCACTTCACTTCCTATTTCTAACCTAGGAGTCAATGTAGTCCAGTCCTGTAGCATCACCTTATATTTGGCGGCAGCAAATCGCAAGTTCAGAAGACTCTGCATTTCGTCAGCGTCTTCACCTACAAGGACTATATCATGTGCATATTCTAAGTCAACAAGATTATTCCCTGGTAACAAGTCAATCCCTGAGTGGCTGAAGTCCTGAGCAGTTGGGTAAACATCATGAACCATAGGAAAATAACTTTGGGCTATAGTCTGGTACATGACAAATTTGTTCTTTTTAACTGAATTCCAACTGATTATTTACCGTACATAATCTAAACCATCCATGTTTACTATTCACACAGTAAACCTAAACGAAGTGCTGTCTGTTGTGCCTCATACGTAGTTAGTATGCTAACCACTACTATTTAACTATTTCATGTTACTATATTCTGTTACAAGTCATACATCATTTTTCCTATTTGGAAAGTCTTAATCTAGTAATTAAACTGATATTTTACTGTTCCAGTGTAAATATGATTTAACTCATTCAGGTTATCAATATAAAACAAAAAGAATCAAATAAAGAGGAACAAAACTAACCAGTCCAAGTGACAAAAATAGCTGTCGTTGTTGGTTGACCCTTAAAAGAACATCCCAAAGTCTCTTTAGTTCTTCGAAGCCAAATTTCAAACTTCTTTAAAACAACTCCCAAAGTAGGCGCATTCTCTACATCAGACTACAGGTAAATTTTTGTTTTTGGTAATATTATTTATGACATACCTGTTGAATACCAGTTAAATTAGAACAGAACACACTTAATTCAGGATTCTCTGTAGGTCTTACAAAACTTTGAAATGAGTCAATTATTGTTCCAGTCACTGAATCTAATACAACAACAGGAAACTCAACTAAAAACAAAATAATTGTATGCATTATACGCATAGATATATATGGACTTACTAATTTCTGGTGCTTGTCCATTATTCTCAGCAAAACATGTGGATTCAAAGTCTAAAACAAAAAACCATCGTAAATCTGATAGTTGTAGGCTTGAATACAAATAAATAAAAGCAACGCACTATTTGTCAGATTATTATGTTTTTGTAAAGGTTTAGAAAACTTGTATAGTGAACCAATTCTTCTGAAAAATCAATGATGGACACAAATTATAACCTACAATAAGTACAAACTCACCTAGCTTCAGTGATTGTCTTTCTCATCACAACGAGTATACTATATTAAGGTTGTCATCAATATATTATCCACCTAAATTGTAAAAGAAACACCTTTAAAGTTCACTAAGGAAAGATTAAAAGTGATGTGAAGTATTTAAGTAAGAAAAACTAAAGACGTGTTTAAAAAGGAGTTGTGTTGAATAAGTCGAAAAAGTTCAGTTGGTGTTTTCACTTGACAAACAACCTTTAAAATATTAAAGATTTTAGATAGCTATTTGCTTTAGAACGTTAAACACTTACGCTAAGAATTTACAAACTAGTATTTGGTATCCCTATAAAAATCTAGGAAAACTCCTAAAGGATAAGTAGACTGTTGAATTGACGTTGACTAACCAAGTTATGTCATACGTTGATAAGTTTCTTTACAACGCTCAAGTTCATCAAATGCACTGACTTCAATGGGTGGAAACTTGATACTATATCCAACAGTAGGTGTTCTAAAACAGACCTATCTTAACGATAAATAACTTGGTCTCATGAACGAAATGTTTCATCAGTTGATATTGAGCGATCAGCATTACAAAAGTCCTGCTTTATATACGACAGCCTATCACTGTACTTCCATTATAACAGACGATGTCATGTAATGGAACTCCTTCGCGTACTTCCATTCGAATAATATTTGTTTCATATTAAGGAGGAGCATCCTGGCACTCCTTCTGCAAAGTAGGTTTAAGACGTTGTTCACCTCATTCAGAAATCAGTATGAATGAGACTGTTATCTTGAAGAAAATACACAATTTCTTCCGGCATATCAGATAATCTGTTAATATATATTTTTTATATTTTATTATAGCTTGACTCCACACAGTATTTTTGATACAAGCATGGAATTTTCAGCATTTGATATCGGTAGCCCAAAGTTAGCAGGCCGATCATTGATTTCAAGTGTGCGTCAGCTGGGGATCGAACCCCGGATCATATGCATGGTCAGCAAGCATCCTAATCGCTGTGCCAATGACGCATATTCTGTTATCGTAAGTGAAATATGTGGCAAAAATAGGATTAACTTCAGAGTTTATAAAAGAAATAATCATGTCTATACGGTTTGTTATAAATGTTAGTAGATTAAATATGTTTAGGTGCATCACATTCAGTCAAAAAAAACCCACGTGCAAACCAGTTCCTATGAATAATTATGAAATAGTTACTTTATTAATTGAAACATTTAAGGAATCATTACTTGCTGTCAGCGAATTATCTTCTTATTCGTAAAATCAATTCATTCAAATACCTGTAAGTTTTATGAATAGGTATTCGACTTATAACTTCTAACATGTTACCTTTTCAGCATAATTAATCATTGAAAATTTTCTTCATGGATCTTGGTGAAGAAAAGCACTTGCAAATTGACACAGGAAAGTGTCAAGTCTCGGATAAAAGTTTCTTCTATAAAGCTGTTACTGAAGACAATTATGATGTCACCTAGGGGATAGTATACTTTGAAAAGTGACTTCGTACATGATCCCAATAAGTCCACTCATGTTGTGTCATTTACAAATGAACCTGAGACAATATTATAACGATTAACCAAGATAAAGGGATACTCATCAAAACTTGATGACGAGGAAGATGCATTAACTATACGAACAGAAAAGATCAAAAGGAAGTTTAACATATAATTCTGACAACTGCATCATTACGGAGGGTTAAACTCAGGATAATAACTTTCACTACAGTTCTATTAGTACGGATTTGACTAACTGTCCAACGTCCCTGGTTGAGTATCTTTCATGTGAAAAAATATCTCTAAAAAGTGTTTAACTTTGCATTTAATTAAAATAAACAGGTTTCGCAGGGATTTTCCTAATTTCCAAACCTCATCACTCATTTGGAGACTGAGCACATCTGGAAGACCCATATCCTCCTGGCCTTATACGCATTTTCGTTATAATCAGAATAATGCAATTTTGAAATCCGAAGTTTTAATACATATTTGTTGGCTTAATTAGTACCTTCATCATCATGTCTTCAAAAAAGGTGATGGAACTGATGAATCTATGCGTCTAACTTCTTCAAAGAATTAAGCTTTCAACGAACATCTCTGCACAAAAGTATGCCAATCCAAGCCAACATACCTCAAAAAAGTGTACAGAAAGATATAAAAGGAAACTAAGTTAAGACACTAAAAGAGATCCGAATATATTAAGTCGGTTGTCAGCTCTAAGGAAGTGTGAAGATGAGTAACTTGTATCCAGCTTGAAAGCGATGAACTGGGAATTTCGGAAAACATTTTGATAAACAAGTGCCACAGAGAAAGTTATGCAAATTCTTGTTGCTTGCTTAGGTCTCACAGATAAGGCAGACGGTTTAGGTAACCAGCTATGATACTGGAAAATTAATAAAACACGTGGTTAGTAAAATTCTACAGTTAAATCTTGGTATAGACGACACTTCGTACTAGAAAAACAAGAAATGAGGACTGACAGCTCTGTTATTGAAATGTTAAGTTATAATGTTTTCTTTAAAGACGTCTTAGGAGCTTACCAACCAAAGTCAGCTAACCAAATTACCACAATATGTGATGTTGAATTATTTGCACATTTAGCGAGACACTCTCAGACGACGTACTCAAGGGTGTTACAGGATAATGATAACAAGTAATCATTTAAACAAATCCAGAGCAGGAGTAGTTTGACTAGGTTATACAAACCATAACTAATTGGTTGTCGAAGGTCATGCACTTCGACGCAAACATCCCAGCAACTATACAGAACAGATACTTAACTCGAGGCTCAACTGCAAACATAAGTCCCGATTCCTCATAGGTGCTGCTACTTGAAACACAAACCAGTTCTCATAAATAAATTCATTTTGAAAGGTCAACGATCTTACTTGTTGTTGTCACTGAACCCTGAGTGTGGTGTCAATTTTTGATAGTTGCCACATAATTTATTAACCATTAATCTATTATTCGAACAGTAACCAAACAATCCACAATCCTCGAACTAGTTAATTAAATCCAGAACATAACCTGAGTAAATACTTAAATTCCCCAACCACTTATTGAACTCCCAGACTCCATATGGTGTCATTTCACCGTAGGCCACATCAAACATTCACTGGGTGGCATCTACCGATCACTCACCTGTGGGGCAGAGCACAACCAGCTACTGCTCAGCACCATCACAGGGATACGGGACTTGAGCTATGACCAAATCACCATAGCCGGAGATTTCAATACCCCATCATTGAACCTTGGCTCGGTGTATGCTACGGGAAAATTCGACCGAAATCTACTGCAAACCAATCGAAATACAGGACTGACTGAGAATGTTGGAGGTGGGGTACCAGTGGAAAGTCATCGAAACTGGACTATATTTTAACTAGTGACCAACTACTCGTCGAAAAGGTCCAGATCATCACTCCTCTAGGAAGTAGTGACTATGCAGTCATAGGTTTCGATCTTGTTCTCCGTGAGCACTTGCGGTGGGACGTTATGCAACCTTGTCTGTGCTATAGCAAGGCGGACTATGCTGAAATGCGGAGGGTGCCCGACTCTTCTATACGCTGACGACGTAAAGATATGGAGAGCAATAAAGTGTCCGGAGGACTCAGATAGGCTGCAGGCAGACCTAAAGCTTCTGGAAGACTGGGCGGTGGCCAGTGGCATGACTTTCAACCTGGAAAGTGCAAAGTAGTGAAATTACGCACCTGTAGACTGCAGAGTGCAACTTACATCCTGTGCAATGAAGGCCTGTCCTGCACAACTTCGGAGCGCGACTTAGGTCTAGTTCTAACGGAAAAAATGGACACAAGCGTGAATTACACGGGGGACGTAGCGAGGGCATTTGCGATCATACACTTTACACATAGACAGTTAGGTGCACTCACTCCTGAGCTCTTTCTAAGGTCGTACAAAACATACGTCAGACCACACCCTGAAGTGCATAATATTATTGCACCCCCACTGCTTAGAAGAGACGCCAACCTCCTGGAAAGAGTCCAAAGACGGGCGACAAAAGGAGTGGTTGGTCTCCGAAATAAACCATATCATGAAAGGCTAAAGAAATTAGGCCTATTCACACTTAGCTACCGTCGGGTTACGGGGGTGGGATTTGATTACTGCCTAAAAGATAAATAGCAAAACGATAAATGACCAGAATCAACCAAACAAAGGTGTTTTGCCATCGAGTAAGTATAGGCTTAGTCGGGGAAATCCCAGAAGGACAGCTCACCAGAGGGCAAGGACCGGGTGCGCTCCCACTTTTCACTGCGGGTTTGCCGTCCCTGGAACTCCTTACCGGCAGATGTAGCTATGGCACCGTCTGTGGACGCCTTTAAGCGAAGGCTGGACAATCATGCAGCAACACAAGGACTGCGTTCAAATGGCCTATCCCCTTAAATCCCATACACCATTCGGGGGTAGACAACTAAGTTCGTCGTTTTACTTCTTTACATTCTCTCCCGTCTTACCCTCCTGACAACTCTAACTACACTTATTATTATTACTGATATATATATACCCATATATCAACTTCAAATTTAGTCAGCTGTCTTCTTTTACGTTTTCTTTATTTCTTTTTCTGTCTGCCAGTTTCAATAGCTTCACTAATTATATCTTTTATTATTACTATCTATTTTCTTTTGACGACGATACCGGAGGACTAACTGGTGAAAGGATCAACTCCATTCACAGTAGTAAGTCTTAACACACCTCATACTACAAACCACATATAATTAATCCCTGCACTACTCCTTTTGGAGTCAACCAAAGCTACGACAGTCGAGTGGCGGGACGAGCTACGCAGAAGTTTACCGAAAATCAGGAACCCATACCTTACAATCAAGAGGCGAGCACAAAGAAATCAAATTGGCTTATGCTAGCTCGTAAAAACGATATTGGATATTGATCCCTTTGCGTATCACAAGCTGCCTGCAAAAACATGAATTGGTTGCACCCTATCGGACAAATGTGTGGACATTTTCGGGAAAACGGGGAAGAAAAGGGGCTATATTCTTTCAATGGGGGAAAACCGATTAAATGGGAATATGAGGGAAAAATGTCTGAGGGGGGAAAGAATCCGAATAAAGGGGGCAATGAGGGGAAACAATGGAAAATTTTACTGTACACAGGAGGTCACTGATAAATTGCAAGTAGTTCGATTTTTCTGTCGAAATTACGCTACCATTACTTCAATTGATGCGTTTCTCTTGATGTAATTACACCAACAGTCTCCTGTTGAATCTTTTCACAAAATCTGACAAGCAGAACACAGAAGGAAGTGCTAACACTTAAAAGTAAGAATAACAGTAGAAGTAGCCTGACAACTCAAGTGTTTTCCGTCATGCACTAATCAAGACAGACCCACACGCATATGTATGCGTATATGTAAATGCATATACATTAAGAATAGTGGCCAATAGCATTAAGTTGTAATCACACTCAGAAATCGACCTGAGACTTGTTATTGTCACGTTGTGATAATATAAGGGGTCAGCGTACCTGCTAATAATGTCACTCATCGTTTAACTAAGAAGGTGTTATATGTGGGTTCATGCTTACTGACCAACCAGTAGAGTTCATGAAAACATTAGTGGTCAATGGTAATTGCAGCGTAACAAATTTTCTTGCTTACTTGGATTACAGTCACACATTGTGCGCGCACTTTTAAACTGTACACAATGCAGGTAAGTGGTTGCTGCGATTCATTTAAACTTCTTCCTAGTCTAACGATAAACACCCTTTATTAAGTATGAAAAGATTACGTCAGTGTAACCAACGTTTGAAATGCCATAATAGTACATTTTACAGAAGGTATAAACGTATCTATGAGCAGGTACTGGCCAAGATCTCGGTTACGTCGATGTCAACGGAGGCTGTCACACCTGCTGTCCTTCCTGTGGACGTCGAGCCGTCTTCAGGGAACACTGATACCATGAACATGGGGACCGAGGTAGTGCCATCGCTACCTTGCAGCAGCGTAACATCAACTGCCAGTACTTCACAAATGTGCCCACAAGTGTCTTCTGAACGTGGTGAAATGACAAGTATGCTGCTCAAAATCATGGTTACCACGAACATATCACAAGCAAACGATAACAAAATCTTGCAGATCTTCCATGAGAGATGGCTCCAACTACCTACAACTATTAGAAGTGTACTGAGAATGTGTGGCTCTTGCGAGTCAAGACTAGTTGGAGGCGGAATCTATTGCCACATCGGTCTCCAAAAATGTTTGCAGCACTACATGGAGATGTCTCTGGTTGAAAGTCCCTACAACAAGATTGATCTGCAGTCGAATGTCGATGGATTGTCCACTTCGAAGTCTTCTAACCAGTAGCTATGGCCCCTGTTAGGTAGAATCACGGTACCGTTCCTAAGTAGTGTATTCCTGATAGGTATATACGGTGATGCTAGCAAACCTAGTAGTTATAAAGAGTTATGCAATGATTTAGTATCTGAGCTAAAGAATATATTAAGTCAAGGCATACATATTACCAGATTGAATAGGCATTTCAACGTTCGTTTGAGAGCCGTCAACTGTGATGCACCGGCTATAGCGGACGTGAAATTTATAGTAGGCCATAATGCCAGCTCAGGTTGTGACAAATGCACGGTTACCGGAAGGAAACTTGACGGCAGAATGACATTTGAAAATGGAATTTTTCCAACTAGGACTGATAACAGCTTCCGTCAAAGGATGCAGTCAAGTCACCACCACGGACAGTGGGCTTTTGAGGATTTAAACATTGATATGGTTAAGTGCTTCCCTATTGACCCAATGCACCTAGTCTATTTAGGGGTAGTGAGGAAGCTTATAAGTCTCTGGCAAGACTTAGCCAAAAAAGGGGAGGCACATAAACCGGTGCATACTTGAAACCACTGACGGGAAGATATTAGCTTGTGGTAGAACGACACCCATGAACTTCCCGAGAAAGTGTAGGGGGCTCACCGAAGTTGGTAGATGGAAGGCCACTGAATGTCGCATCTTCCTCCTTTACCTAGGATCTGTCTTACTTAAGGACACTATGCCACCCGGAGTATACTGCAACTTCCAAAGACTTAGTTTAGCCGTTTACCTTATGTCTCACGAGAAGTCTTATCGGAATTACTTGGAAGGCTGCAGATATAAGCCAGTAAACTTCCTCAAGTTATTTATGGCAGTGAGCACTTAGTCTACAATATTCATTGTCTGCAACACTTAGCCGCAGATGTCAATGAAATGGGACCTTTAGAATCATTTTCGGCGTTCCCATTTGAGTCTTATATGCAGACAATTAGGCGATCTGTACATTCCCACAATGCGGTTGCTAAGCAGGAGGCACAAAGATTTGCAGAAAAGGTATTTCACGACTGCAAATCAAGAGCACTAGACAATAACGTTTTAAATCAATGTGAAGTAGATGTAGATAGGCAAAAAATTCACACCAGGCGTGTTAATGAAGTCTTTGAAGCCAGTACTAAGGCCTACTTCCACGACGTACGTGATCGTGTAGCAAAATGTGGGAGCCGGAGTTGTTAACAATGACGGCTGAAAGAAATATTTAAATGAAGCAAGCTTACACGTTATTACTTTATAGAAGTAGCATTTGGTGAGGAATAACTTCGTTGGTGTTCCACGCGCTGTGTAGCGACTTGACAGCTTAGGCTTCCAAGTGTAATTAAGCATGCGTCTTAACGAAGACTGAGGACAAAACGATAAATTGCCAACCATTTTCGTCATCTGAACATAACCGAAGGTTAATTGTAAACTTACAAATGAATCTCTGAATTTTGGGGTTTTCAGTGACGCTTCCAGTTGGTTGAACTCTTCTTCAGTCGCCAAAGGGAATTCCAGTTGACTATTGTCAATGGAGGACTTACTGGTTCTCAAGATGGACAGGTTGTTCGATCTATTAATTGAAACCAACTGCGTCACCACTATAACAAGGGACTGCACTTCTCCTTTAAGGGACTGTAACTCGGTAACCAATTGAATATTGGAATCCGTGTTACTGCACAGTAATTAAAAATAACATACATAGTCTGCTGAATTCGGTGTGTGACTGGTGACGACGTCGCCACTGGCATTTGTTGACTGGAAGCGCTGAAGGAATAAGAATACTTGTCTGTACGAATACAGAAGCACTTACACATAATGTCTGACGGCTTAATTTCTAGAATCTTGGGGCTCACTCTCGAGCATTTCCATATTCCAATATGGGATGAGTTAAATGGCTGGTCGAAGAAATCACAAGCATCTACATAAGGTCTGAATGTTAGTCTTTCCTTGTGTATCTGCGTTATGAGACCAGGTTTGTTGAAGGCTATGACGACGTTATCTGGTGAAGAGGAAGTGATAACTGTACGCCTGGTGTGAATTTTTTGCCTATCTACATCTACTTCACATTGATTTAAAACGTTATTGTCTAGTGCTCTTGATTTGCAGTCGTGAAATACCTTTTCTGCAAATCTTTGTGCCTCCTGCTTAGCAACCGCATTGTGGGAATGTACAGATCGCCTAATTGTCTGCATATAAGACTCAAATGGGAACGCCGAAAATGATTCTAAAGGTCCCATTTCATTGACATCTGCGGCTAAGTGTTGCAGACAATGAATATTGTAGACTAAGTGCTCACTGCCATAAATAACTTGAGGAAGTTTACTGGCTTATATCTGCAGCCTTCCAAGTAATTCCGATAAGACTTCTCGTGAGACATAAGGTAAACTGCTTTGTATTATATCCCTCTCGGAAATATCAGTTCCCTCATAGTTTAGTTTCAGTATTAAGTGAATGTAGTGCAATCTACAGATTCATGAAATTCACATACTGACGTACTGATTTTCCAGAATCCTAGTTAATGTCTAGTCATCAAGGTGAGTAATGGGTATTGTTCTTGTGTAAACTCAATAGGCTGTGAAATGCCGCCAATGAAAATGACAACAATTCTTGGAATTACTAGTTTTAATTTTAGCTAGATCGCATGCAACTTTTAGCAGTTGTTGAGTCGCCACTTGATGAAAATCGAATCCATACAGAAAGCACAGAAGATTTAGTACAACATGCACACTCCTGATTTCACTATCAAGCATCCATGCCAAATGCATTACTTTAGGGGCCTACACATTTCACAAATTAACTCACAACACTGAAGTGGAAAAATTTATATTTGTCCTCACTGAGCTTAATGTAGCGAATGTTGTGAAGTAACTTTCTTATGCAGAAGAGAAGAGCAAGGTATTCATAATCTTTCGCTACATGTGGAATCGCAGTGCAACTCAATGCGCAATAGTATATATACGAATAAAATGAAAAATGAAGTCCTCCTTGCCTTCTGAATAACTTGTCCTTATTCCAGGATAATAACTTTCTTTCACCTACGAGCCTAAGTTATATCCATGAAATCGCAATATTACATCAATTAAATCTTCCCCCGAAATCAAGGCCACTTGAAACACATAGCAACATAGCAACGGACATCGTAGCGGGGATATGTGACAAAGCCACTCAGTAGTTTCAGTGAGATAGATCAACTTAAACTCTTATACTGACAATACAGTGAAAAACTCGGCGACTGTTAGAAGCGAAATTTTAAGTTAGCAATTTGAGAGTCATACGGGGAACCAGTCGCTTTAAATTATCTTGTAAAATGTTATGAGGAATTTGCAAGATTGTCAGATAGTTTTAATATTTGACCACAACTGTATCGTTGAGGCACGAATTTGTATGTTCAAGGTCACATCTAGAAGCGTGTGAATTTTCGTGAGTCAGTGAATGTTCATAGCTGTCTATTTTTTCTTTTCGAAAAATAACACTTTGATGATAATCACTCTACAGTTACTTAAAAATCATAAATATAGCGCCTAGTTCTGACTAATCTATAAATATTACATGAAAAACGACAGAATCTGGAGGAGTTTAAACAGTGATATTTTTCGTTTATTGAGGAAGCTTTCTCGCCACATAAGCTTGCGTTTCTGAGCATTGGCTTCTAAAAACCTGCATTAGCAGTAGAACGAAGAGACCCATTCGGAGAATGCACACATGTAAAGTGGGGGAGAATTTGAGTGAAATAGGCGATTTCGATGGATGAAGACGTAGGCTAAAAGTGGCTAAAAGAAATACAAAATACTATTTTCCCCATTTCGCCAACCATTTTTCTTCCGCTCCATTTCCTCTAAAATTTCCATTGTCCACTTTATTTACCCTTGTTGTCAGCTACTGGGAAGCTGGCGAAAAAATTGGCAGTCTTTTCACTCCTTCTGTGGTAGTTGAGTGACTATTATTGTTTTATGAAATCCTACAAAATTATTTTGTACCTACGTGATAGCTTTCTTCTGAGGTTTGCAATAAGCATGGCTAATGGTCCCTCTGACCGTAGGCCTTAAATTAACATTTATCAAATACTAACCCGAATAAATTATCAATCACTGTTTCAAACAGCTACAAACTTTTGAATCCACAAAGGAAAAGGAATGTTTAGGTTCTCATAAGTTGGATATTGTATAAATATCTGTGGCTTGATAAAGCTGTAGCGAAATCTTTTGTATACTAAGATTTTAATTTGTCGAGTTTTTTCATTGTTTTGAGTTTCGAGTGTAATATAGAGCTTCGGACCGGAGCTTTTACGTCTTAGGAGCTATGGTGTTTCTTCCATTGGGTGAGGTTGCTAGCCTCACGCTCAAGCTTCTTTCTTTACTAAACATACTACCGGCTAAGCCAGGTTTAAGATTGCGTCCGGGGGTCAGTCGAACCTGGACCCCCAGCACTGTTGGTGAGCATTATGCGATTGAACCACCGACTCATAAGACCAGGGAAAACCAGACAGCTGTTTCGTCCATGTTTGGAACTTTCCAGCGGTAGGCATCCATGACCTTCAGGCTACAAAGCGACATCATATACCATTCAGTAACTGGAACAACTTTCCGAGTTGGCGTAATCTAATTATTTACCTAAAATGCCCGTTAAAAATTTTGTTTGGAAGTTCATCCATTCGAGATTTTCTATCTCAAAATAGTAGGAGTAAATAAGAGAATAAAGACGTAATGACACAATAGTGAATATCTATGTGTCGGGATGTGAAGATAACTGAATAAAGAATACCAAAATTATTCTGGATACTGAAAAATTAGTAAACGCATCAAGATCAACGCAGAAGACTTTTAGCTCCTATTTTAACCATCCAGAAGACTAGTTTTGAGGTCTGAGACTTTGTATAGATCTATAGATAGGTACTTAATTCACTCGTTTCTTGTTTTACTTTTACCAGCCTTAACGCTTTTGCAACTTAATCCTACTTCGCAATTATTGATCAAAGCGTTTTTCCAGCATAATTAATGACTTTTTCGCTCACATCTACCGACAAAAGCTTGAAATATCATGAATTATCTTACCTTCCTTGTCCTAGACTTCACAGAGTGGGTCGCTAGTCTCATGCCCAACCTTCTCTCTATTCTTGCCTAGCTGCCGGCTGGCAAACTAAGAGTCAGCCAGGAAGTGAAATCTGACCTCGTGTCTGGTTGGCGAGCATTTTATCATTGGATATGATTTTTTCGCATAAATAACTGTTTATTTAAATGTACAGAATAACGGTTCTAAAGTTACTTGGAAGTATATTTCAGTAAGAGCAAACCAAAGAAGAATAAAACCACGGTATGATAGCGATCCTTTAAACTGATTATTCTCAAGTGTTGGTTTATAGCGATTTGATTGATTTCAAGTTTTATCAGTTAAAGAACCACTGAAAACAATGGAGCGTTGGATAGTAGTTTTGTTCATATTCGGGACTCTCCATCAGTGAACACACAAGAACCAACTGGATTTCCCACCTAGTACCTTCAGATTACAAGGCGAACTCGTTGACCACTCAGTCTATGGGACTGAATCTAATGACATATGAATTCTAACTTGTGCAAGTTTACAACGTATAGAGCCACCTCCAGCTAATGTCGTCGGTGAGTATCTGTTTTCACACCTAACTTGTTGAACGCTTGAAAGGTAATCTAGAGCTCATCAGTGACTTACCACAGGATGAAGTTGCATAAAATTCTTGTGAGAAGTCGTTACCAGAGGGGCCTACCTAGCTGGATGAGAGAAAAGATACTCACCGATGACAGTGGCTGTCGGTGGCGCTACACGTCGCAAACTGGCACAACTTAGAGAGGATGTGCCAATGGATTCCGTACCAGAGAGTGAATGGTCAACCGGCTCTGCTAGTAACCGGAAGGTCTTGGGTATATACTGCTGAAATGTCTCAAAGAAAGATCAAAAAATGGCTATTCAGTACTCCCTAGTTTTCAGTGGTCCTTTAACTGAAGTCACATCTTGATTAGACTTGAAACTGGTAACTACTGGTCACTCTAGTGACAGCCGAAACCTATAACTGCAGATTTATCAATACATATGTAGGGTTAACTGCAACAAAACTGATGCATTACCATGATATTTTCATTTTTATTCTACAGAATGCCGTATATTCATGTATTTTCCTGACTGAATCAGTCGCCTGTTACTCATAAAGTCAACTGATTGAAAGTAATCCCTTTCAAATGAATACAATGAAAATTAAAAATGGTTCATCCCACTGCTCTTGTACATATCAGTCTAATGGTGGGAATGCTAATCTAAGAAAACGTTGTAATGGTGATAGCCTTCAGAAGTCATCTTTACCGAAAACATCAACTACATCCGATGACGATGATGTTGATGAGTCGACCACAAGAAAACTACTCCTAATCACTGATATTTATGTTTATTGTATGCTTTTAACTTGTGTTTGTATAATTATTTTTGTATTTTCTCGACCATTAACAGAAGACTATCTGATCCGTTTAATATTTGGTGAATCACTGAATTATTGTAATTATACTTATATACCTTCAAAGAATAATTATCGTCGTCCGTATAAAGTGTACGATTGATGTTATTATTGTTATTATTATCAAGCATAATTTCCTTTTTTCACATGTATGTATATTTCTAAGTTCTATTCGTCTTTCCACCTATTCACATATCTTCGTATTCTCTTACACCTTTTCTGTAGTTTGAAAGCAACAGTAACATCAGGATAGGAGTATTTTTCTACAATATTTTGATAACCATACTAGAACCTTTATATGTATGTATGTATGTATACATCTGTTTATTGATTTTTATTTAAGTTTTGTAATTATTTATTTCCTTGATCTTCAACTGACAAATACATCATTCAAAGGATTACTTTTCAATATAGATCATTGTACATGTCTTTTATTAGCATTATTACTAATTCCTGGGGTTCAGAATGGAACGCATAGCTTCAACGGTACATCTCCACTTTATCTTGTCCTCTAAAGTACTCTGTAGCTGGTCTCACGATTCTCTATGAGCTGTCATCCCCTCCATGTCACAACTGGTGTCACGATCAACTTGTCGTTTTTCATCCAGGTTCCACTCAAGGGCCTGTAGGGCTCAGTGTTTAGCTGTTTCCTTTTGCATATTTAGGCAAGAGTAAACAATAGACACCAAAGTTAAATAACCTTGATTTGACTAATCAGATAGCTCAGCATTATAAATGGTTCCTAGTCATAATCCTCTTTGAAGGTGTCTCCTAGATTTGGTTTTTGACTTCTCTGTAGATAATGTGTTGATAGGGAGGAATGAAACATGCATGTGTGGAGGGATAATAACTCTGGAAAAGTATTGCTGGGCTATTGATGGTTATACATTCAGATGCAACCACTTTATATGAGGAAGTCTGTATAAGTTGGTAAGTCGTACGTAACTGGTGATTTTTAGACACTTTCTTCTCGAAATCAAAGCTCTCCCTTAGTAATATATTGCGTATATGCAACCAGTATCTGCTACAGCTGGAGAAATAGAGAATACATTGGTTTGATATGTCTATAACCACTTCTATGAGAATCTGGGACCAGTTTTCGCAGCATGTTAGAGATATATACCCTATATGATTCATTTTTATTACATATATCATAGATACACTTCTTTGTAAATTAAGTACCACTTTTCACCCAGAAGAATCTGATTGACTGTTTCAAGGTCGTCTGAAGTTGGTGTCTCTTCTTTACTGTTGCCCATATTTATTGTGCTTATTCATAGCTAACATGTAGTGAATAGCTCTCAGTGTACTTAATTACATAATATTTGCTCTTCATACTGGATCTCCAAGTAAAATGGTATTCAACACTGTATTGTGTGACTCTATATTATTTCATCAGAAGCAATATGCGATCCTCTACAACATTTTTTCCACTTATTTCCATTGAGAGGTGCAATGTAATACGCTGACACCAGACTTAAAATGTGCGCAAGATAATGTAACTCTCCGAAAACATAATTAAATGATTAAAACAGTAAGAAATTGATAAAAAAGTTTATGCATCATTATTATTTTATTATTATTGTCTCCTTTAGTTTCTAGAGGAATGTAGGGCTTCAGCTGCACGTCTCCATTGCGTTCGGTTCTCCACCAACGTTTTCACCTCCCCCCACGTCTGCCCACATGCTTTCATCTCCTCTTCACATGACCTCCTCCATATCACCCTCGCACTGACGATCAACTCATCGCCTGGCGTGTGATGTCACTCACTTGATGGTTTTCTCAGATCATAATGAACCCACCTCCATTTCTTCCTGCATATTTGTTGTTCAATTGGTATCTGCCAGGTTGTTTCGCTCCCAGAGTTCCCTGTTGCTGATCTTTTCTGGCCATCCATCTGATCTTGAGTATTGAGCGAAAACAGTTCTGGATGTATGTCTGTAGTTTGATCGAAGTGCTTTCGTGACGCGCTGGCTAAGTCTCTGATCCGTATAGTAGCATTGACTTCCCAGTGGAGTTGAAAATCCGGATCTTCTTTTTCATGTAGGAGAGTGCTGTTGACCTCCACACAGACTTGAGAGTAATGAAAGCTTACCTTGCTTTCCCGATGATCCTCCTTTTGATATCCTTTTGATTTTCTCCAGGATGGTGCCATATAGTAGGTTACTTGGTGTAGACAAGAGCATTATTCCACGCCAGTTCTTGCAGAGGCGTAAGTACTCCTTCTTTGGTAGCTTGTCAAGGTAGCCTTTCTTCATAATAAGTATCAAAATAGAAAGGGCAAATTAGTTACGATATTCAAACAGTATATTGCAAGTGTTATTGGAAATACGTTATATAAAGTTACAGTTAGGTTCAAATTCAATTTCTACAATTTAAATTATATAATCCAGCGTTGCAGAAAATGTGCTGTCGTCGATGATATTTTACTCCACTGCGGACGTTACCATAGGGGTGGTTGACTTATGGTTGTGCTATGGATGAGGATATGATGGTTCCTAAAAATTCCAAAGTAAGCACAGAAGAATCAGTATTCCCGGAGAGTGAGAAGACGCAGCAACAAACAAGTGAGTTTATATTGAAAGTAGCGAAAAGTTGTGTTTTTAAAAAAAACATGTCGATTAAAACAAAAGATATACAAAATGTTTCATTTTTGTACAAGATCGCCACTCTGGGTACAACAAGTGTCCTCATTTTTTCTAAGGTTTTATTCCTTTAAAATATAAACACAATTTAGTAAAATATTTGGTTCATAGAACTTGAGTAGTCTGTTTTAATGCCAGTCTTAATGAGGCACTCACGATTATTACAGAATTACTTATTCAAAATGGTTACCTAGAAAAGACTAGTTAGTCAACAGCTGTGAAGAAGCCCTTAATTTAAGAACTGCAGTCCCTTGGTGATAAAATTAGTGAAATAATAACACAACGCTTAAAGAATGCAGTAAAAAGAGCATTCAGTGCAACAGAAGTGTGGTGTCTCTTCACACAACCATTTCAATTTCACTTTCGGGAAATTAGGATAAACTACCTAATTTCACCTTATCTGTGTGTACTTACCAGTTTGACTGCTCTTGCTGAGTTAGTTACATTGGGCACACAGCTAAGCATATTCGTCATCAGATTTCTGAATACTCTCCTGCATGGTTAAAAGATGAACAAGTAAGGTAACACTGTTTTTTTGATTGCACACTAGTCAGTAACTAGTGTAATGTGTCTAGTCCTATCTTCGCCGCTTCGTGGCCACATTGCAAGCTTGACTGATAGAATTCAATCTGCAGCGAAGATAGGACTAGACACATTACACTCAAAAATATCCAATACAGTCCTACAGGAGGTCAATCGCGAGCCCGAATAGCTCAGTGGTAACGTCTCTAACTGCAGCATTGCAATGGGTGACGCGGGTTCGAATCTCAGAAGGGACATGAGTTTCTTCAAGGTTGCAGATACGCCTTGCTGATGGGTGCCAACTAGCACGGAACCTAGGTCCAAGGCTTCCTGCCGATTGCCTCCAACCATCTAATACCGACAAGGTAACACTTTTAGCGCATCTTCTAGATATAGCTGATGTTGGCAAGACATTTAAGCTTATGTATCGTATTCCGACTGAAATTAATTCTGCTTTACGAGTTCGTCTTCTACATATAACTGGAACAAACGGAATCCACCTGACGAAGCGAAGTTATGTGTTCAGATGCTTTTTTTAACGTGGCCGTCATTACTTGACTGTAAAAATCTGTCAGATGCCTATTCCCTTTAATTCTTGTAAAGGTTATTATTATTACTAATTATTGTACTAATTATCTTTGATTACTGCATTAATCCCCTTTTTAATTATCTGATATGCACTTCAGTATTATATTTGTACATTTTATCACTAAGACATGCTTTTGAACTGTAATTCTATTGATCCTAACAAATCGATATTATTTAATGACAACATCAGTGTTGTCAATAAATATTATGCGCCTACATGACGAAGAAGTTATTGGAGAGAATATTCTTTGCTCAATCTTCTTTTTGTCTTTTAAATTGTTTTATTTTGTCTTTTTTAAAATCTCGACAGTTTTCTTCAAATCACTGAATCTGAACTACACTTAAACAACTGCATAAATTGATTTCTTTTAAATGCCATAAGCAAGTCCTTTTTTGAATTACTGACAACTTTTCATCTGACAGTAGACACCAGTCGCTGATAGGAACACTAGGTTATTTTAGTATTTTTATTTGTCTTCAGATGGAACAGAATTTTCTCTAAGTTTATGTGAATTTCCCTATAAGCAATTCGGTTGAACCAGAGTGCTCCGTCTGTTGACAGGTCAGCTGTTGGTGTAAATGCTTCGATGATGTCTGGTGGTTAACACAATGTTATTTACCTTTCTGAGATATGACTTTTGTTTTGGTCATCACTTACTCACGTCTAGTATATAACCCTTTCATAGCAAATAACGTTGGTTAAGAATAGTAACATCAACAAACCGATCAGTAATCTCCATATGATGGTTTGTAGGGATTTGAGTGATTTCACGTCACATCACGAACTGACTCGAGTTAAAGAACTATTGGAAGCCAGGGAGTACTTAACGTCTGTTTCGCCCTGGTTTGAGACTCTTCATCATAAATCTAGCGGGGTTTGAACTCAGGATCAACAGCCTACAAAGTGTTCAACCACTGCCCTATGAATTTGAACTCCTGAAAGCTACCAGCTAGTGTCGGCGACAAGTACCTAACCTCCCAAATGAATTGGAAGACCTTACTTGTCACAGATTCTCTCTATAACTATAGGCAACTTCATGTTGGAGCTAGTCATTCAGATGAGGATCTGGTAGAAGCAAGACCATTAATGATGAAGGTGTGTGGCGGACCTTAGACTCTGTGAGCTTAATATCCCAAATTCGAATAGAAATAAAAAAATACCAAATCCGTAAAGTTACTGGAGGAATATGTTAAAATTTTTTACTTGGGGTTATTATAAGGTCCAAATCCACAGTTAAGTGAGTAGACTCCAGAAGTATTATCTTAATTCTCCAATATCAATACTGCCAGAGGTCGGTCAGGGTAACATAGGGAGAAAATACGGCGTTCCTGTGATGTTTTGAAATAGAAGGTAAGTAATTAGAATTGGCCGATGGCAGTTGAGATGGTGGAGAAGACGGAGAGTTGTAGGCAGAACTATATTTTCATTCAAAACACGAGGTTAAGTTCAAAGTATAGAGATTCTGGTTAAAACAAAGTAATGTACAATATGTTCATTTCTCACATAGTAGTAAAAGTTGGATAAGTTTATTTCTGAGGACTCCACAGGTCTTGTTGAGAATTAGAAGGTACAGAATGGCAATAGAGTATACCATATTTTCAATTTGAAACCTGTGGAAAGTACATATTTTTCGTAATAATAAAATTAACTGGTGGTA